ACTGTTGTGAACTTGAAACAACATGACAGAAGATGCAGTACCTCATTCAGAGGTGCTGTTCTGAGACAGAGTGTGAAGACTTGGAGTTTATTAAATGTATACATTAAAGCAATGTATATCAACCTTTTACTTAATGTCTTGGAGAAAATGAAATCAAACAAAACAAAAGTCCAGATTCTATCAAACTACACATGCGTATCTGTGTTATTTGGCTTGCAGTCAGGCTTGACCCAAGATATTTTTGTTGCCTGTGGCAAAGCAGTAAGTGAAATGCAGATATCTTAAGGTCAGTTAAATCATTTTGGCACCTGAGGCACAAAGTCTCAAAGCCATTGGCCACCCAACTCAGTGTAACAGTACAACAGAAATAACAGTTGGCTGCTCTTTCTTGCCACCCAGAATCAGCTGTTTGAAACAGCCATTCCATCTAATGATGCAGCTGGCCTATTGTGTGTGTGAATGAGCCCCTGGTTTCATTTTTCCTCTAAAATGTGTTTCTGGTGACTCAAATGAAACAGATAGCATTAAGTGGAACTTACACGCATATTAAACTCAAAGGTGAATCAAATCAAGCTGATACATGCCAAAGATAAAAGGCTTCCTGAAGGCTTTGAATGTAATGAAAGCAAATTATGTTAATCCTTTCAGTGGCCTGTTTATCTTTTTAAGAATTGCACTGAGATTTTTATCTACTGAACTGTAGACAGAGTTGCTGGATCCTAACTCCCACTATTCCAAACAAGGGATGTGTTGAGGTAATGTGAGTTATACTCCAACACTCCCAGAGTGTATTAGATTGTGGAAGGCTGCCCAACAATTTTGTTGCTCCACCATTTATTTTTATTTATATTATTTAGTTATGTTATATTATTTACAGTATATTATCTGCTTGCAAATGGACTCTAAGCTATTTTTTTCTCACTTAGCTTACAAAAGGCACTCTAACCCAATGGTGAGACACTAAAGCTCACTTCAGTCTCAGTAGCATTTCCAGCAAAATATAGGATCAGATTCTTAAGAAATGAGTATGCCAGTTCCTGTGGTTTTTGGCTAACTTAGACTGACTGTGACAGGATAGTGGGATGTCCACTAGTGTGTTTGTGTGTGTGTGTCTTTTAAAGAGTAACATTAATATAACGACAGTAGGTCTGATATTAGTAACTGGAACTTCAGTTGCGCAGACTAGTTCATGGGTGTGTTGTTGGGTATTAATTTCCTGCTGTTTTTTAAGAAGTTGAGGGTAGCCTTTTGTCTTTCCTCAACCTTAAGTTGTGATGGAAGGCATCTTGGGAGATAATGATCTCCCAAGGCTAATGAAAGAGCATTGTTGCTAAGTGATTATTTAATTGGGGATTCCCACATCCAAATCCAAACTCTCAGGAGTGTCCATACCATCATTTGATCTTCACACGAAGAGATGCTGTACACTTCCAGCAGCATTTGATTTACATCCCCATGGCACTATTCCATTGCGTCATGGAATTCATGAGCTTCTGAAATATATAAGTATGGTGTGTCATTGGCTTCCTGGTATCCATTGGGTGAGAACGATCTACACTATGGGCGTGGCTGTTACATTTCCATCATCCCCTACCCATCAAGATCCTGTTATTTTCCTATGCAAAAACTTTCAGATGGGTTATCTACCATTTTCAGTTTAATTTGCTGGTCTGTGGATGGAATTATATTAATCAGATACCAGTGGCACTGGTTGAAGAGAACTGTGCTACATTATTAAAAAATGGCTATACTAGGCAGTGCCAGAGGAGACTAAGAAAGACAAACATCCCACCAGACAAAGTGGTCCTGAACCCACACACAAAAAAATAGAAGTTCACTTTTTATATCTCTAAGTATATTATGATTGGTTGCCCAGTCAGCCAGATGTTTAGACTGGATTTAGCATTTTTTTTCCGCCTATCGAATCCTTCTCAAGGACCTGGGATAGGTAGATGTTGTTGTTTAATAATATTAAAGGTATCATCATAGGATGTAAGCTGTTCCAAGTAAAGCTGCCTTTTGCAATTGACTGATGGTTATTTGGTCAATGCCGATGGTCTTCAAGTGGTGCTCCAGATGTTTTGGGATTGCACCCAAGGCGCCTATTACTATTGGTACTATCTTTGCTTTTTTTCCCCACAGTTGTTCTATTTCTATTTGCAGGTCTTTGTATCTTGTGATTTTCTCCAGTTCTTTCT